GGCATTCACAACCATCAGAAAGCAGAGAATAAACTCGAGTTGCGATGTTTTGGACAAACTCTTATCAATTAAACAACCAGTGGTCACATCATATGTATGTTTGATATTAATTCATAAAATGTGTTAAACAAATTTGTAGTAAAATTTACACTATTTTTATAGATTAAAGTTGATATGAGTGCCAAAGAGTCGGGCAGTAAAAAGTCACGTATGATCGCAGAGTTGTGGCGGGCGTTGGGCATCGACCCGGAGGTCACTCCCAATCACCTAACGCTCGGCGAGATAGGGCTCGAGTCGATGTTCGCCGTGGAGTTGCAGCAGGAGTTGGAGAGGGAGTGGAATGTAAAGGTATCGTTAAATCACGTGAAGAGCATAACAATCGGTATGTTGAAGGACTACGAGGCGGGCAATATTGGTAATGTAAAAAAGCACCTGGATGAGTTGAAACAAGCCAGGGCTAATTTGTTGAAACAAAAGTTCGTAATTCCTACCGAAACCCACACCCGTCTAAACGCCGAGACCACCGGTCGACCCGTATATCTGATGCCAACTGTTTTGCTAAATTTTACCATGTTTGACGAGTTGGCACAATCTCTCAATCGGCCCGTAATTGGGCTCAATTGGACGCGTGAAATGTGCAAATTGACCACGATCAAAGAGCTAAATCAGTACTTTATCAAACTGTTGAAACAACTCGAGCCAAACGGCGGGTACGATGTGGTCGGCTATTTAGACGGTGCCATCACTTGCAGCAAATTGTTGCTCAAAGGAATGGTTGACAAAGCGGTGATAATTGATGTTTTGTCAGACGAGAGGTTTACTGGGGATCAGCTCTCCGAAGAAGATTTGTTCGTCTTTACGCTGAATATGTTCAGCGAAATGCCGGACAGTATTAAGGATAAGATTATACGCGAGTTGAAGAAAGAGACCGACACTAAGGCCCGCATCAGAATCGTCACCACAGAATTGGTCGACTTCGCGGGCAAAGGTCTGGTGGCGCCCGACATCGACGAGATATACGCCATTTTGTTGGCCAGACTTCGGATGCTTTTGTCTTATAGGGCGGAGAAGAGGAAGAAGTTCTCCAATCGGCTCAAAATGGCGATCGGGAAAAAGTGGTCAAAACGTACGGGCAAATTGATCATGATCAAACCATTTGTATTGGATAATGTCGATGATGTCGATGAATTGATTGGCAAATCTCGCGACACATACTTATTACCCGCCGCACAGGTTTGATACAGCGATTTACACCTCATTCACTAATGCTATTTACTACTCAAAGTCTCTCTCTCTCTCTCTCTCTCTCTCTCTCTCTCTCTCTCTTTAAATAATAAGTTATTATTATTATTAATAACTAATATACTGTATTTAATTTGACCAGGATGGCAACGATGGCAACGATAATATAGAAGTGACGATAATCAATAGTATTCCTAATTTGGATCAAATAAACGCTGAAATTAATGACAAAGTTTTAGCTGCGCTTAAATAAATGGTATATAAACTCGTTCTTCGGTAACAATCGGCAATTGAATCAAATTATATACAATAAAGTTAACTAAATTTAGAAACAATAATAATATTAATGTTTCTAAATTTAGTTAACTTTATTGTAATATATTATATTCATTATAATGTTAATTATGTAAAGTTGTATGTTATATGTAATTATAATACTAATAAATTTTGAAATTTAAATAATAAAGTATGCATTAGAAAATCACAAAATCACTTCAATTTTATTGATTGTTATTATCTAAATTTATCACAATTATTATTTTTAACTTATACACCGTATATCGAGCTGATCTTAAAGAGATAATAAGTTTAATGTATGTAATTGTTGGTGTAATTTCCCCTATGTAAAAACGATAATTAAAATTTAATAAAAACATTCAAGTTATTAGTCTTGTTTTACTGTATAAAAAACACATCAATGATTGCAATAATTGTTGTGAAAAAATTAGATAAAATAATATCAATGTTTACGAAAATTTAAAAAATATAAATATAAAGGTAATTGAACCGGTATTCCTGTCCCGTGTAAAGTATATTACATGGAACTTTATATACGGTACAGTAAATTGAATTGTTTTAATGCTTGCTATAATCACATTGTATTTCATCTCAATATTAACAAATACACTAATGATTCAGTTGTATTGACTGCTTATCTATCGCTATCTCTAACCCAAACAAGTGTTAGGTTTGGGTTAACCTTCAGATAAGATAATTGATGCCAACTTTCAATCACTGGTTGTGAGACCGGATTATTTCAATTGACGTTTAAATATGGCATCACTTTATTGTTGTTATTTAAGTTTTACGTTAATATTTTGCATTTAATGTCAGGTTTTTAATGCAATTTAGTTGTTTAATTAAATCGTGAATCTCTTTAACTTGTGTTTATGAGTATTACTCTAACGTGAAATAACTAATTAATTTTGTCAATTAAAATACATATTTATAATGTCGGTAAACAAAGAATACTCGAAGATATGCGGTGTTTGTGGCGATAAAGCACTTGGTATTTGTATTAAAAATAAAAATTCACACTTAATTATATTTTAATAAATTATTAATTTACATTCAGGTAGAAATTTCTGCGCCCTTTCCTGTGAGTCATGTAAAGCGTTCTTTAGGAGAAATGCCAACAATTTAAATGTATTTTGTGTTAAATGTAAAATAATTAATGCAAATATTAATAATTAGTTGTTTTCAATAGAAATATAAATGTGTTTTTCAAAACAATTGTGAAATGAATGTCGAGATGAGGACTGTTTGTAGAAAATGCAGACTTGAAAAGTGTTTCGCAATCGGAATGAGAAGAGTATTTATAAACTATTTCCATAATTTACTATTATTTAATAATTTACTATTAATAAATTACTATTATTTTTGTGAATTAAAATTAATTATTAAAATCAATTTAAAGGAAGTGATACTAAATGAGTCGGAAAAGGAGGTTAGAAAACGTAAAATACAAACTAAAAGGCAGAAAACAATCGCCGATACCAACGATGTAAGCAAATTAGATGATCAAATGGATGCGTTGGACAACTCTTCTCCCACTTCAACACTGATTGTTAACGATAGCGAAGAGACGTATAATATAGATATTTTAGACATTTTACAAAATAATAACATAAGTAAAGAGACACTGGATTTGCAAATAAATGAAATCGAGAGCATATTATCGGATGAGAGCAACTCTTCAGCGGTAACTGCATTGTCGACATATTGCGAGACAATTCCCGCACATATTATATGCAATACCCTTAATGTGTCGGAAGGCATGAAATTCAATGAACTAATGGCCGCCACTTATGACGAAAGACTGGTCACAATTCCTCGCCCAACGGCCGAAGTGTCGGATGTGTCGGAAGGCATCCAAATGTTAGCAATTCATTGCGAGATTGGGGTCAGAGAGCAAACAAAGGGCTTCAAGAAGTTAAGGGCGTTTAACACTATGTGTGAAAATGACCAGTTGCTCCTGTTTAAGAGTGCGGCCATTCAAATGGCATGCATGCGATCAATTTATTGTTATCATCATGATCGGAAACAATGGACATTTCCCCAGGTACGGTATTTTGATGTGTATTGAAAAAATTAGTATTAATTATTAGAATATTAATTCTTGTATTAATTATATTTTACTATTTAATATCTAGGAAGAGACCAATACATCATCTCTATTACAATTACGAGTGTTCAAAAACAAGTTACCACATATATACTCACAAATCAAAATGCTTTATGAAACCGGGTGTGATTTATCTGATGACAAGAATATTCTGCATATGGTAATTGTATACAATAATAATAATTATTTTTAGTGCTTAAATAACATTATTTGTCTATTAATTTTAGTGTACGGCTATTGTATTGTTTGATACAAATCACCCAAACTTAACACATAAAGAAAATGTTAAGTAAGTTGTTGTGAACAGAATTGAAACATAATTTTAATTGATTTTTGTATTTTAAAAATTAGATTTCAACAAAAGGTTTTCATGCATTTACTTCAGCGATATTTACTTATGAAATACCAATCGGAAAGTGTGGCCAAAGAAAAGTTTGCAAAATTAATGTTTGAAATGAAATATACAGGAGATTTGCAGCGAAAATGTATGACAAATATACTCGACTCGTGTCCACCAAATATCAGTCCTCTTCTCAATGAGATTTACGACAGAGACTGTCCTCAACTCATGGCTTCATAATTATATTATACTGTATATTACAATATGAAAGATGTATACTTATGATACTAAATGATTTATTGTGATGAAATATATTAATTCAATATTATCAATATTTTTTTTGTTGTTATTATCCAACTTTAACCAACATACTATACATTTACAGATAATATTGTAAAATAAAACAATTAAAACATTATATACAGAATAGACATTCAAATATTGGTAATAAATTATTAGTAATAATACATATAATTATATTATAATAAATACAATCTATATTAAAAGAAATTACTAATAAAATGTAATACAATTGTAATATAATTAGCCCATTATGTAATATTAAATAACATGATCCGGTGTTTTAATCTCAATAGATGGCATCGATTATAAGTTTTAAGTTTTACTTATAAAAAGTAATTGATTGCAAGAATCGCTTATCTATAAGTTTGTCTTATCTATAATTACAAATGTATTAACAATTCATTATAACCACTGATATTAGTTAACCTTGTGATACGAGAATTGACTCAAACTATTATCCATTGGTTTAAACACCAAATTTCCTGACATAACAAATATGGCAATAGTTATTGTTTATGTTTATATTTATCATAATTACAGCAAAATTATATAATAACTTATTAACATTAATTTATTACATGATTCTCTAATTTATTTGACAAATATCAAAATATTCAGTTAAATATTCAAAATAAACACTATATTTATAATTTATATAACAAAAGTGTAGCAAAAAATGAGTGAATCGGAAGAATCGCCAAAACTTTGCGGCGTTTGCGGCGATAAAGCTCTCGGTATTTATTTATTATTCCTCATGTTTGGTACAAAGATTGTAAATATGGTATATCATATATTTAACATATAGGTAAAAATTTCTGCGCCCTTTCCTGTGAGAGCTGCAAAGCCTTCTTTCGGCGAAATGCATCCAATTATCACGTAATCTATACTTAAATAATAGATTTTGTTTGCGATTTATTGTAACCAAAAATGTTGTGTTTTCATAGAAAATGAAGTGCTATTACGGAGAGAAATGTGAGATCAATCTCGAGACCAGAACTGTTTGCCGCAAATGTAGACTTAAAAAGTGTTTCGCTATCGGAATGAGAAAAGTATAGCATATTCTGTGATCAAACCATGTCTTTCCGTTATTAATGTCTTAAGTATTGTCCGATTTATTGATAGGAATGGATACTGAATGACGAGGAAAAAGAGGTCCGCAAACGTAAAATACAAAACAATAGACATAAGAGAGTATCCAATAATCATAACAATGAGTGCAGAATTGTGGACAAAATAGACGAGTCGACCAACTCTTCGTACACGCCGTCAATGTTTGCCAACAGTAATGATATATCGGATAAAATGGATATATTAGAAATGATAGGCAATGGCAACAAAAACAACGTGATTACAGTTAACGCCGAGAGCCTGAGTACGCAAATCATTGAAATGCAGACCAATATGACTGAAGAGACGGACATATCAGTGGAGGCGTACCGGAAGGCACTGGAGCTGGAGATGGCAGTGATTCCGATGGCGCGGCCGCTCACGAGTGGCCGCTTCAACGAGACGGAGAGCATGAGGTTTACGGAACTGATTTCGGTGACTGAGGTGTTCCGCACACCGATACCGAAGTGCACGTCACAGGTGTGTAACTTCACGGATGCGGTCACTGTATTGATGAGCAAATGCGACGAAGAGGTGCGCGAAGTGGTGAAGGCTTTCAAACAGTTAAACGCTTTTCGCACGCTTTGCCAATCGGACCAAATCCTGCTCTTGAAGTATAGCGCCATTCAAATGATATGTATGCGGGCCGTGGTTTGCTATGACGATGACACCGAACACTGGAGTATACCTCTGGTATGTGTTTAACATATCGTGTTTTATATGAATATCATGTGTGCTTTGAATGTGTTTTTCTAATTGCTTGATGTGTTGTGTTGTGTGGGACAGGACGACGACAACTCAACTCTCGTTCAATTGAAATTTTTGAAAGGCTATGAGAAGGACTTATACTCACCGATGAAGCGCTTCCTATGCGTTATGGGAAAGGAATACGATTCCGACGAAACTATTTTAGACCTGGTATTCCATATATTGTATTATAATTTTTACCATAATGTCTAATAATCTGTATGTCTGTATTATAGATGACAGCTATAGTTTTATTTGGCCCAGAGCATCCCGACCTCATCCACAAGGAGGCCATTAAGTAATGATACATTTAATTGTAAACTTTTTTTTGGTTAACTCGTGTCATGTATTTCTAGACTCCAACAACAGGTTTACATGTATTTACTTCAACGATATTTGCAGATGAAATACGGGTCCGAATGTGTGGCCAAATGCAAGTTTATAAGGCTTATGAATGGCTTGTCGTACGCCAACAAATTGCACCAGAAGTACATTGTACATTTTCTCGATGCCATCCCATCTGATATTAGCCCTCTTCTCAATGAGATATGCGATCGCAGGCCTCAACCAAAAGCAATTACATTTACCCTAGGTTGATTTGAAACGTTATAAATGTACCATTTAAATACTATTAATTAATTATTAAATGTGATATACTATTGATTATTTACAAAGTTCCTAATGCTTAATAACTGTATTTTGATGCATATTTTTGAACAGAATTTTATAATTGCCATTTAAAATCATTAATTTGATAATTATTATTCATTTATTTCAAATTGGAATGTGAATAAATAGTGTTTTTGGAATATAAAGTTTATAAAAACTTTATAAATGATCATGGTATTTACTAATCATGGTATTATCCAGTTTACATCTAAATCTAGTTATCTTAAAATACTTTTATTGTAATAAGTAACAATTGTAAGTATAATTTTGATAATAATTTTTGTCCGACAGATGCAGTCGTCGCCGCAAATACTGTAAAAGCACTGCACTGTATAGCAAAAGCCTTGGTTGTGAAGACAACCGATAAAACATTGAATTATTAGAATTGAGTACAAATTTAGTGCAATTCTGTTTAGTTCATATGTTATGAGGGAAAGCCGTAGATTTTGTACTTAACATACTCCATGTAATTTTAATATAAACCCAATTTAGTATAATTATTTAAACTAAATGGGTGATAACTAGGAATATAAAGTTTCTATAATTGCACTAGATCACTTTAGATTCTTGCGGTTATTTTCATGAGCACTGTCTGTATAATTATTTGCAGTAAAATATTTAAAATTATTAATTCATTTATTTATATAATAACTTTTTGTTTAGGGATTTTGTATACTATTTGAATTAAGTTAAAACTAATTTAACAGTATTTGGCAACAAGATGCCTTGCTAATGTCAAATTGTGTCTGTTATTGTTTTCCATATAATAAAGTTTATTTTATTTTTAAAACTTTGCGTTTGTGCAGTATATTTATTTATTTATATTCAATTTATTAATTGAAAAAGTAGTTTGAAACAAAGTATTAATATTGTAAACAATCAGCTGAAAAGTGGTGTTATTCAGTATTTATTATTCATAATAAAGTAATAAATTATTAGTAATAATTAAAATGAAAAAACAATACCGAAAACTAACCGACAAATCCATCGTTAAATTATGTGAAGTTTGCGGAGAGACGGCTAATGGTATGCAAACATCAAAACAATTAAAATTTATATTTAAAAACTATAAACATATCATTTATTCATTATAAAAATTAATTAAATTTGTATTTTATATTAGGATATAATTTAATGCCATTACCTGCGAGAGTTGCAAATCATTTTTTAGGCGAAATGCACTGACGGATAAGGTATGGAATAAATATTGGTTAAATAAATGGTAAAATAATAAATTAAATACGATATTTGTAACTTTATATCAGGAATACAAGTGTGCTTTCAAACAGAATTGTCTCATAAATGTGTCGACGAGAAGATATTGCCGGAGATGTCGACTCAAAAAGTGCTTTGATTTGGGAATGAAAAAAGTAATTTGTATTTTATTAAACATTTCATATACTAATTGGTAAATATATTCATTGATTGAAGGAATGGATTCTGTCTGAAGAGCAAAGAATGCGGAGAAAACCACTAAAAAATAACCGCAAAAACAGGTCAACAAATGATAATGAGATTAATTTTATGACCGATTTTTCGAGTGAAGAACAAGAGGTCAATGAAAATGCGGACAACGATGTGTTGGACAAAGTGTTTGCCGACAATAGTATAAGCGATGAGGAGATTAATACACAAATCAAGGAAATCGAGAACTGTATCGAAGACAACGCATACGAGATGTCTGTGATATCCGTCGGTCGACCCATCGATAACTACAGCACAACTTTCAACGAGTTAGAGGCCAACCGATTGGGCGAACTGTTGAGCGCCGCAAACGAGTTGTCGGTGAAGACAACGCATACGAGATGTCTGTGATATCCGTCGGTCGACCCATCGATAACTACAGCACAACTTTCAACGAGTTAGAGGCCAACCGATTGGGCGAACTGTTGAGCGCCGCAAACGAGTTGTCGGTGCCGTCGAAAGTGCCTAAAATCATGCGAGAAGTGACGGACGTAATGGAGGCCTGTATTGGTTGGTCGGCAATGTTTGAGCGAAATATAAATAAGTTTGTGAATGCGTTGAAGAAAATACA